ATTAATGGCATTAATGTAACGTTATAATTGGCAATCGTAACTGTTTCGTGAAGATCTTATAACTTTTTCCATCATTTATGCTCATTAATTGCAGATAATACGTATTTGTACTTTTTGCTATCTAGGTTCATTCCTCCGATGTCTCTTCAAATTATCAAGAGATCCGAGTAACCGTTCCTTCTTATTTTCTTAAACCTTTGCCCGTACCTATTAAGGCTCATGTCTCTTTAAATGCTCTTTGCTAGCTGTCACTCTTTTATTGATCCACGTGTCTTGACATGTCAGCACTTAATTAATTCCCAATGTTAACTCGATTTTTCCCAATACAGATAGTCCCCCCACTTGCCATTTATTCAGCGATTGAATATTTGGGAAGTGGATCTTATTAAAGCGGGAATTTTTGCCGCCATCCCCACATATCATTATACCTTTTCCAGAACTGACGCTTTGCATGTCACTTCCATTTAATGCATGTTACACGTGATGACTTTTGATTGGTTCTGCAGTTCTTCAGCGTCTTTTAGGGCTTTTTTACGGCTACATCAATCACGAATACAGTTTTCATTATGACGTTCCCATCATTACCTTTTTGTTTGACGGTTGCTTCTGAGTATAAATATATCCTTTGTCTTTTCTTTCATAGAAAAGTATTCCATCTTTGACTATTCAATCTTCTCTTCTTCTTCGTACAGCTATGTCTTCTTCAAACCCTGATCCTCAAAAAGTTCTTATCGTAGATGAACTTCCCCTTGCTCCTACTAGAAGCAGGAGGGGGGGTAGGTTGCGTAGTTTGGGGTCAGTTTCTATTCGAGGTTCTTCTTCTTCTCAACCTAGTTCCACTCCTCCTTCATCTTCTAGAACTAGGGCTTCTCTTCCACATAGGTCTTCTGCCAGAAGTAGAGATTCCAATGAGCTAATTCGTGAACCTACAGTAGATGAGATTATCCCTTCTGAACTTTCTTTTTACACTGATAGAGAATCGATTAGAAACCAGGTTTCCTCTCATGATCGTGCTGATGTTTACCCTTCACAGATTACTGAAGGTTTGATCTCTGTTGTTCGTAGAGATTGTCAATGGAAGTTCGATTTCCCAGTTCTGGTCCCTAATGCAAATCAAAGGATTACGTCTTTTAAAGCTGGCTTTTCTTTTGTGTATACGTACCCCTTTACATTGGACTTTAGACCCCCTATTGATCCAGTCATTATTGAATTCTACCGCTTCTTCAATGTGTGTTTAGGACAAATTGGCCCTATTGTATGGAGGGTTGTTGCATGTTTAAGGTATTTGGCTAATTTGGCTCAATTGCCTTTCACCTTTTTTCATCTAATCTATCTCTACTCCCCTAAGTTGTTCCGTCATGGGATTTTTACTTTTGTGGCGAGGAGTAAGAGAGTTTTAGTCAGCCCTGAGGACGATAAAGATCGTGGCTGGTACGCCCAATTTGCTGCTGCTCCTACGATAAGGTTAGTAGGTGAAGAAAATATGCCATTCCCTGAAAAGTGGAATTTTGCACGTAAGTGTTTTTTTTTACAACTTTCTCTCTTCTGTTTTTTTTAAGAATTTGTACTTCTCATGACTATTTCACTTTTCTTTTTTCAGCAACCAAGGGAACTGTTGAAGAAATTCCCAATTTTCGTGGTTGGGTAGAAAAATTGTTGACCATTGTTCCGATGGAAGTTAGATCTTGGAAGTACCTCTCAAATAGGTTTGGTTGAAAGGTTAAGACTCATGGTAAAAAAAAAATTCCTTTTATTTTTATTCATTCTTTCATTAGTGTTGACATCCAATTTTGTCCCTCCTTTCTTCCAAACTTTTTGTTTAAGCTTCTAATATCACTAATAATGTAAGGATAGTTATTTTACCATTTTTAGCACAAACTAGACCTTATTATCATTATTATTGTTATTATTATTATTATTATTATTATTATTATTATTATTATTATTTACCTAATATCACTATTACTAGTATTACTACTACTACTACCACTACTATTACTATTATTGGAATTAGTACTAGTATTACTATATATATTATTATGACTACTGCTAACTACTATTATAATTATATTTATTATTATCATTATCACTAATTATTAGAATTGCTAAAATTATCATAAAAATTACATTCATCATTGACATCACTACTATATTTTATCACAAGTTTTTTATTTTAAACAAGTTTGTCGTTACTTTGCTTTTAAATTCTATAGTTATTAAATGTAAGACAATATTTTATTAGTATATATATCATTAGCAAAGCTTTGTAATATTAATTAGAAGCCCAAAGAAGTTTATGAGGAAGAAATTCCAATCCAAACAATTATTCCATTTTGTAAAGCTTCAGTTCTTTATCCAATTGAGCATAGCCCAGAACTATATTAAATCAGCCCAAAAAATATTAGCCTTGACTAAAGCTTTTCCAGATTCTTCCATATTAGAAATATCTCTGATTTGGATTCCAAAATCTCTTTAATCATATTGAAATATTTGCTTCAATTCCAACAGAAAAGCTGCCATCCTACCCTACTTTATTGACTAAAGCGTCTGAAATTTTCAGACTTGCCTTCCTCTCTCATGGCTTCCCACACCCTTTCTTCTTTTTTGCTTCAAAACATGGATCATCTTTCAGAAAAGCAACATTGATTATAAGAAAAGAAATCAAAGCCATCTCAGAGAAAGGACGATTCTCTGTCTTGCCTCCAACGTTCGGATTCAAGCGGCCATTTTTTATCAAGATTCAAGTCCGATTTTGAATTCCCTGATAAAGACCCAAACCCTACTTCTTCACCTATAAATATTAGCATTTGGAATATATTGGAGAGAGCTTTTGGAGCCGTTGCACCACTCTTTAAACCCACAAACTTCAGCCGCGCCTTTTACCCCAAAACTAGAAGCTCTTAGCCGCCCCTTTCACCCCAAAATATGAGAGTTTCAGCCGCCCCCTTTACTAGAGAAACACCTCTGTCCATCGCTGCATACGATTCTCAAACTTACTGCTTTTCGCTCCCGCCTTTACTCCTTTAAAACACTCTCTAAAATCCTAGCTTTTCGTTTGATATTTCTCGCCTCTATTGGTTGATTTTTTTTAGTCAAAGCAGAGGTGTTTTGGTATTTTTCCGGAATCGTTCGAAGTAGTTAGTTCGAGGTCGGAGTCCGATAAATCTAAAACCTCGCCCAGTTCACTGCCCTGCAAAAGGTCGGTATCTTTCTTTTTATGGAATTTATAAAATGTTCATGTTTCAGCATCTATTTGGCAATGAGCTCTTAATGTTCTGATATTTTATCTTTTATCTGGGGTGCTTTTGTTGATTTTTGACATTGTTCTGTTTCAAGTTGTCATTTTATGCACAGTAGTTTAATTGGAAATCATACAATATGTCCATTCCTTTGTTTACTTGAATGCTGAAATCATGTCTTATTAAATTGTTTTTCTGGCCATGTACTACTCGAAACATGAAGGATAACTGTTTGTCAATGTGCTTATGTGAACTATTCAGCTGTTGACAAACCCAAGTAGCAGAAACCATGTCTAATACTTGATTTTCTCTATAAAAATTATAATAGCTGATATCGAGATGTCGTGTTCTATTTTGGTTTGCTTCATGTCAAATGTCTAAGACAAGACTTGATATCATGGAACTAGATATTTGGCATGCCTCGCTATTGATTTTTGGTATTTTTAAGTTCAAAGCAATGGATCTGTATTCAATCATGTAGAGGAATAATTTGTGCTTCATGAGGCTAGTACTTGTTTGAAAGAGGTTACTATGTTAATCCTAAATAAAGTGCTGCTAAGTGACTAGCAATGACATTATAGGAACCACGAGATTGTCATGGGCGGCTTTCCAGCCATGCCCCATGACCCCTTGGGCGCGCCCCGTGACGTCCTAGCGAACCTCCCAATGCCTAGCGCCACGGACGGCCCCGTGGTCTTGGCCGCGCCAAGTGACAAGCGTGCAGGTGCCTCTGTCGCCCCACCGATATCCCTCGCGAGCGCCAAGCCGCAGGCAGAAGCCAACAGCGCCGCGCGCGCAGACCGTGATGCCAAAGACACTGCTGCTGACAACGGACCTGCTGCTGCCTTATAGAAGACTAAGTCATTTTCATTGTAAATATAGAGTAGTTTTATTTCATGTACTTCCATTATGTTTCTCTAGCTTAATCAAGTCTACTCCTGTAACTTTGGATTATTTTTTTTAAGTACTATTAGGGGGGATCAAGCAATCAAAACTTTCTAGCAAGCAAGCAATTCTCTTACTGGTGTCTCTCCCCCTCGACACCGCGTTGCTTTTCTGTAATAGCTTTCATTAATGCAATCAAGCTTTCTTTCATTCTGAATTCTCATTTCTGTTCTCTCAATTGCTCTTGACATTGGTTTTCCCGTACGGCACTGACAATCTCGTCTAGCGTACGGAGGGGACCTCAGTTGGCGGACAGCAACTGCACTGACATCAGTTGCCTAGCCTTACGTCGCCCTTCCAAGGAATCTCAGGAAGGCGCCGCGTAACAATACGCATGCGATGTCCCCAAAGAAGCTCAACTACCCATTCCATACCAGGCCTAGATGTATGTTGTTGTTGGCGAGAAAATAACCTATTTTCTCGTGCCACTTGTTCAGCATGATCAGCGATAGCACAACACATGATATAATTCTCAATATCACTGTCTGAATCACTGGAGTCACTGCTAGATATGCTCATAATTTTTCAACTGAAAAGATATACAAAAGACAAGGTAATCACTAAGAAAGATGATCATGAATTAAGTAGCTTTCAAAATTAAAACTGCATTCAGTAAGAAAGATGATCATGAATTGATCTAAAGTTCTCTGAAAACGCATTCACTATAGAGAAAATTATACAACACATAGGAAGTCATTACTCATATTGCAGTCATGAACTACACCATAAACTACACCATAACGTACAACTAAAATAATTAGGATCAGCGTTTCACGCATTAGAGTACAACATAACAAAATAAAAATAACAGTTAGCTCAATTTTTCTTTAAGTCGTTAAACCATTCAACTTGATTTTTTTCGGTCATATGAACGAATATCTTGCGAAAGCTGGGGTTGAGCAAGAAAGGCGCTGCTGGTGAAAATTTTTCGTTAGCTAAACCATGCTTTTGCAAGACAAATTGCAAGTGGGTAGTCACAGCTTCCTCAGAGTAGACATCAATCTCAGTTTCTTTCAACGCTTGTATCTGCTCTTGTTCCTGCTTCTTTCTTTCTTTTGCTTCCTCTTTGTTTCTCTTCCACTCCAAGTGCTTCTTTAAATAATCATGTGAGTAGTTTGCAGCTATAGCACGACTTTTTTTGTGACCGTGTAGGTGTTCCACCCTCTGTCTGCACAGACATCACACACAGTTCGCTTTCCACTAACAGTTTCACTACCGGTGTTCAGAGACATAAGACGACATAGATTTTCAGTACCAGCGGGGTAGTCGTCACAATTAGAAGGTTCATTCTCCACGGCAATAGCTTCATTTGATTGTTGTGAAAAATTAGGATTTGTACTATACGTAACATGGTTTCCCGTGGCAAATGAATTCCCAAATATCTCATCCAGTAAGTCAAAATCTTTAAGCCCTTGGTATCTGTACTTGGAAATATAGACATTCTTCTCTTTCTTTTGCTGTAAATATTTTTTGCAATAGAATGTTAGTTCAATATGCATATAGGTAGAACATATGTAACTTTTTCAATCTCCCAAACTTACCTTCACATGATTCGCCCAAATATGGACAGGTAACTGTGTTAGCTATAGGGTCCCATCCGTACCCGGAGCAAGAATTAAGGAGCTCCTTGAAGGTTTTTGTCTCTCTGTTTAATCTTCCAACCTTGGACTTAATTTTCTCATAGTCAAACCTATCCACATTTCCAATTTTCATCAAAAACTCATCCTTAATTTCTGTCCAACGTGGACCGCTGAGGGTAGAACCATTAAACCCGTGCTTCCTCGCATCATCATGTAGGACATTTATGAGGATCGATGTTTCATCATCTGTCCATTTATCAGCAGCACCACCACGTGGTTTATCAATTGAACCATGCGGTTTATTCATTCTTTTACGTTTCTACAATACAACAATAATAGGACAATATATCACATGCCTAACTTTATTTTCTTAGTGCATAAAATCCAAAAGCATGCCTTAAACTATATGGAAGGCATACTAGCACAAACAGAAGGATTAAAATTTAAAGTATGTTACCTATTAACCGGTAGAGGCAGAGTCACAGAATTCTCGTCAGAAATCTAAAAACCAGCTTCAGGTATTATGGGCGTTACAAAACTTTAAAAGCAAGGCCAAAACGTTAGCTGCATCAGCCGAATGATACAAAAAAATAAAGCATAAAGATGCTATACAAAAGGGAAAGAAATTGTTTTTTCAGTTGTGTCCACTTCCAAAAATCCAAATTGCATAACGGCATAAGCATCTGGGCTGAAAAAAGTAACTTTTCCAGCCAACCCAAGACCCCAATTTCAGCCAAACACAACCGGAAAAAAAAAAGAGAGAGAGAGAGAGAGAGAAATCTATCATCATCACAAGCAAAGATTAGTCAATGTAGGAGATGAGAGACTTCTGCATATACATGGGAGGGTTTACAAAACTAAAGAAAAACTCATACAAATCAAGCAAAACAAATCTGAAGAAAATTCAAACAAAACTAGCGAAACAAATCCGAAGAAAATTCATACAAATCTGCAGAAAATTTAAATAAGTATTAGCATATTTTAGCAAATTACCTTCGAATTTCTTATTTACTGTGGATTGCAAACGATTGGCACAGAGAATTTGCGGTGGAGTTCTCTTCTGTTATAGAGGGCAAAGCAGATGCGTGGGTTTAATGAGGGCAAAGCAAATGCGTGAGTTTAATGAGAGGCAAGTGAGCAGATATGGTTTAGTTGGGCTTAATAAATGTGGGCTCTTTTATAAAATATAAAAGTTTGGGATAATATTGAGAATTTTAAAAAAATATAACGGTCATATTTTGGCCCAAAATCAGCTTATTAGCTGATTTTGGGATTTGAAATATGGGATTTAGGTTTTGGCCAAAATGTGGGTAAAATTTACGGTCAAACATGGCTTTTGAAAATAAATTTCAAATTTATTTTGGGAAATTGTATGGCCAAACGGGGCCTTAATTACACCAATGAATGCTAAATAAACAATTTCTAATGCATGCAAATAAGTTTTCTAAAGCTTTTCCCAAAAAGTCAAAAATCGGCCCCGGGCCCACATGGTCAAAACCCGAGGTTCGAACCAAAATCCGACTACCCATTCACCCATGAACTCAAATATATAATTTGTTTTGAAATCGGACCTCAAATCGAGGTCCAAATCCCCATTTTTTGAAAAACCTAGGTTCTACTCAAAACACCCAATTTCCCCCATGAAAATCATTGATTTTTGAGTTGAAATCATGTTAAAAGATGTTAATGATTGATGGAAACTAGTAAAAATTGACTTACAATCGATTTGGAAGAAGAGTTGTTCTTGGAAAATCGCCCTAGGGAGTTTTTGTTTTGAAAAGATGTGAAAAGGGGTTGTTTTATCGGCTAAGTATAAAAAGTTGCAGGCTGCAGTTATGGGAATTGCAAAGGGAGGTTGGGAAATGCGAACTGAAAATTGCGAAGGGAGGTTGGGAAATGTGAACTTGGAATTGCGAAGGGAGGTTGGCAAATGCGAAGCCTGCAGGCCTGCAATTCCTTAAGTCTAAAATTTCACCCCGTGGCCTATCCAAAACTCACCCGAGCCCTCGGGGCTCCAAACCAAATATGCACACTACCCTAAAAACATCATACGGACTCACTCGTGCATTCAAATCACTAGAATAACATCAGGAACTATGAATTTAGCATCAAAATCATGAAACTTTCTCAAGACTTCAAATTTCCAATTTTCTCAATAACTATCCGATTCACGTCGTTTCAAGTCCGTTTCTTACCAAATTTTACCGACAACACATATAAATCATATTGAACCTGTACCGGGCTCCGAAACCATAATACGGGCCCGATACCACAGGTTTCACATAACATTTCACTTTCAAAAACCTTTATATTTTTTTCAGAAAATAATTTCTTTCAAAAATTCATTTCTCGGGCTTGAGACCTCGGAATTCGATTCTGGGCATACGCCCAAGTCCCATATTTTCCTACGGACCCTCCGGGACCGTCAAATCACAGGCCCGGGTCCGTTTATCCAAAATATTGACCGAAGTCAACCTAATTCATTTTAAAGCCAAATTTTATCATTTTTCACAGATTTTCACATATAGACTTCCAGCTACACGCCCGGACTGCGCACGCAAATCGAGGTGATGCTGAAAGAGGTTTTTAAGGCCTCGAAACACAAAATTAAATTTAAAAACAAGTGATGACCTTTTGGGTCATCACATCCTCCACCTCTAAAACAACCGTTCGTCCTCGAACGAACTGAAGAAGGAAGTACCTGAGTCGGGGAAAAGATGGGGATAACGGCTCCGTATATCTGACTTAGACTTCCAGGTCGATGCCTCGGCAGGCTGACCTTTCCACTGAACACGAACAGAAGGAAAACTCTTTGATCTCAACTGACGAACATGCCGGTCTAGAATAGCTTCCGGCTCCTCCTCATAGGACAAATCCTTGTCCAACTGGACAGTGCTGAAATCTAACACGTGGGATGGATCACCGTGATACTTCCGAAGCATGGATACGTGAAACACTGGATGCACATCTGATAAGCTCGGCGGCAATGCAAGTCTGTAAGCCACCTCTCCCACTCGATCAAGAATCTCAAACGGGCCAATGAACCTAGGGCTAAGCTTGCCCTTCTTCCCGAATCTCATCACGCCCTTCATAGGCGACACTCGAAGCAATACCCGCTCACCGACCATGAAAGCCAAATCCCTAACCTTGCGGTCGGCATAGCTCTTTTGCCTGGACTGAGCTGTACGAAGCCTGTCCTGAATGATCCTGACCTTGTCCAAGGCATCCTGTACTAGATCCGTACCCAACAACCGAGCCTCTCCTGGCTCAAACCATCCAACCGGCGACCGACACCGCCTACCATATAGAGCCTCATAAGGAGCCATCTGAATACTCGACTGGTAGCTGTTATTGTAGGCAAACTCTGCTAAAGGCAAGAACTGATCCCACCAGCCTCCAAAGTCAATGACACAAGCTCAGAGCATATTCTCCAAAATCTGAATGGTCCGCTCGGACTGCCCGTCGTCTGAGGATGAAACGCTGTGCTCAACTCCACCCGTGTGCCCAATTCTCGCTGAACTGCTTTCCAGAAATGTGAGATAAACTGCGTGGCTCGATCCGAAATGATAGACACGGGCACACCATGAAGACGAACAATCTCCCGGATATAGATCTCAGCTAACCTCTCGGAAGAATAGGAGACTGCCATAGGAATGAAATATGCTGACTTGGTCAGCCTATCCACAATAACCCATACTGCATCGAACTTCTTCTGAGTCTGTGGGAGTCCAACAACAAAGTCCATAGTGATACGCTCCCACTTCCACTCAAGAATCTCAATCTTCTGGAACACACCGCCAGACCTCTGAAGCTCGTACTTAACCTGCTGACAATTCAAACACCGATCCACATACGCAACAATGTCCTTCTTCATTCTCCTCCACCAGTAATGCTTCCGTAAGTACTGATACATCTTGGAGGCGCCCGGATGAATAGAGTACCGGGAACTATGGGCCTCCTCTAGAATCAACTCCCGAAGTCCATCCACATTAGGCACACAAATACGACCCTGCATTCTTAAAACTCCATCATCTCCTAGTGTGACCTGCTTGGCATCTCCGTGCTGCACCGTGTCTCTGAGGACACATAAACGAGGATCATCATACTGCCAATCTCGGATACGCACCAATAAAGAAGAGCGAGCAAATGTGCAAGGTAATATGCGGCTGGGCTCAGAAACGTCCAACCTCACAAACTGATTGGCCAAAGCCTGGACATCAGGGGCAAGCGGTCTCTCACCGACTGGAATATACGCCAGACTGCCCATACTGGCCGACTTCCTACTCAAAGCATCGGCACCACATTGGCCTTTCCCGGATGATATAAGATAGTGACATCATAATCTTTCAATAGCTCCAACCACCTTCTCTGCCTCAAATTTAACTCCTTCTGCTTGAATAAATACTGCAAACTCTTGTGGTCCGTGAACACTTCGCATGCCACGCTATATAGATAATACCTCCAAATCTTCAGTGCATGAACAATGGCTGCTAACTTCAAATCATGGACTGGATAGTTCTTTTCATGAATCTTCAACTGGCGCGAAGCATAAGCAATGACCTTGCCATTCTGCGTCAACACCGCACCAAGCCCAACACGAGATGCATCACAATAAACTGTATATGGGCCTGAACCTGTAGGCAAAGCCAACACTGGTGCCGTAGTCAAGGCTGTCTTGAGCTTCTGGAAGCTCGCCTCGCACTCATCCGACCATTTAAATTGGGCACCTTTCTAGGTCAACCTGGTCATCGGGGCTGTAATAGATGAAAACCCCTCCACGAACCGACGATAATAACCTGCCAAACCCAAGAAACTCCAGATTGGCTGATGTGGGTCGAGGCCAGTTCTTGACTGCCTCTATCTTCTTTGGATCTACCTGAATAACCTCTGCTGAAACCACATGCCCCAAGAAAGCAACTGAACTCAACCAGAACTCACACTTTGAAAACTTGGCATACAGCTGACTATCTCTCAAGAGTCTGAAGAACCACTCTCAAATGCTGCCCATGCTCCTCCTGACTGCGGGAATAAATTAAGATATCGTCAATGAAGACTATCACGAACGAATCCAAGTAAGGCCTGAACACTCGGTTCATCAAATCCATAAAAGTTGCCGGGGCATTCGTCAACCCGAATGACATCACCAAGAACTCATAATGCCCGTACCGAGTGCGAATAGTTGTTTTAGGGACATCCGATGCCCTAATCTTCAAGTGATGGTAGCCTGATCTCAAGTCGATCTTAGAAAACACTTGGGCACCCTGAAGCTGGTCGAACAAATCCTCAATCCTCGGCAATGGGTACTTA